AAACAACGGCTGAGCTGGCCATGCATATGTAGACGCCAACGAATCCTTATTCAGAGCTGCAGCAGCAAGACTTGGAGAGAAAGCTCGACCGAGGGGGGAAAGAAGAATCAACCCTCTTTGTCGAATCACCTGCCCTCCTGTCACCGGTTTTGCTCTAAATGTCCCGCACCGCCGGGTCGCATAACGGGCCTCTGCATCACCAAGCGATCATCCCCCCTCCCCCCCCGCTCTCGACCTTCCTCGCTGGCTTCGAGGCATTCTTTTGAGAGGGGCATTGGGCATCTATTCTCCTTTCTTATTCCCCACACCTGATACCTTATGGGTGTTCAGGTTCTCTCCCCTCTTTCCTTGCGCCTGTTGCGCTTGTATTACAATTTTAATCCTTTCTCTCTTTCATGCGTCATGATTTCAGTTACTATACTTAAAGGACGAGGTGCATCTTCTTACTACAGAGGGATTTGGCGGATATCGGGCGAGAGTTTTTCTGCATATATCTGCTTGGGATCTAGGAGTCTGCTTTTTCTTATCAGTTTCACTATACCATTTTCCTTATAATAATACACGAATGAAACATGTCTATTCCTCAACACCGACTCTCGTGTGTCTGTCTGAATGTGAAGCCCGTCTATTACCAGTCCATCCTCGTCAGGTGAGTCGGCCAACGGTCCACACCTCTCGGTGGGCTTTTCTTTTACTTCTCCATGTCTGCGTCAGGTGTCTTAGAATGACATATCTGTTCTCCTTGTTCCTCTATTGTTAGAGGTCCTTCCCCCCTCCCCCCTCCTTCTCATCGCTCTGCCCCTCCCCCCTCCCCCCCCCGCTCAGTCCTTCCATATACGGCCTACATGCTGGCGCACAGTTACGTCGTTCTACACCGGCAAGGACGGGCCACTCATGAGGATCACGTTGTGTGCCTTTCCGTTGGTCTGTCCCGTTGGCTGTCAACACATGAAAGCTTCAACGTACCCATCTTCCGTATCATCCGTGCGGGTCCCTCCCCCTCTCTCTAAATGAAAAAAAAAAGAGGAACCTGTAAACTCTATCGTTCCATGTTATATACGTCGCAAGGAAAAAATAGTCATGCTGACGTCGACGACGACGGCTTTGACAGCCCGGGAAGATGCCCGTCGCATTCCATCGTCTCGCCCTGTCGGCGTCCCCAGGCTCAACCGCCGACTCTCTCTCCCTCATCCCACTCGGTGGTATTAATAACTGCTAGTAGATCTTTGACTAGCAATAGACTATCCACATAGCAATACTAGTCGGTCCGTCGTCGTACCTGTCTTTTCTTTCTCCTTCTCTTACAGCCATCATTGCCTACTAGTGGAACTACTAACCCGTATGAACCGGTAGTGCCTCCTTCCGAGGAAAATCAACGGTGTTAGTGACTGCTCTTCTCCGGTAACGACCTCTGATTTTTGTCTTTGTTTCTAGTCCGCCCGTCAGTGCCCCCCACTAGGCTGTACGATTCATTCAACTCAGCTCGTTCCTGTCGCTCTCTCCGAGAACCCTATGATGATGGGGGATACTCTCACCCTCTTTTCGGTCCCTGTTAGGGATACCGTCGGACAGGAAAAAAAAAGATTACGACGCCATTCTTGTGGCTGAAGTGGCGTCCTATACAGGAGTAAAAGTGACCGCCAGCACCGGCGGCCTACGGCATTTAATACTTAGTACCAGCAGTACTTACTATCCGTACTATGCATTCCCAGTGATGATGTTACTCATACGGACTGCACGCAGCTCATCATCGAAGACAAAAGAAGCGGGACGCGGCCCTCCAACAGGAGGAGGAAAAGCCTAAATCTAGCCATAGCCCATGTTCGACGCGCAACTTGGATGAACGGTCTCGAACCTCGTCTTCAGCGAGAAGAGGCTGTACCTACCTATTAGGCTTTGATTAGCACGCAAAACCACTGCCATCTCTGCTGTACTAGACTCTCGCCTGTCAGCTGCACGTGGGTTGTCTTTGCAACTCATCCTGTCTTCTGCCCCTTTCCACCTTTCCATCCGCAGGTGTACGGATTATGTACTTTTGCTTCAACCTGAACAGCCTCCCCGGTTTCTGACCGTCGCAGCACTGGAGGATTGAGCATTCACCCATCCACCCTGGGTATTCATCTCATCCTAAATCTCCCAAGCTGTGGGCAAAATCCAATCTGCGAGTACGGAGTACTCGTGGATAAGAATAGTCTGTTGCCGGTGGCAAATCCTCTTCATCATTGAAACAGTTCGAAACTCGAAACACACCGACCTCCCCGCTGCAGGAACCCTCCATCCCATGGGCACTTGTCCCACTGTCAGTCTGCGAACGACTGACTACGGGTCAACTCCGTAGCCTCGGCTTCCGACCAGCTTCAGCATGGACCACCACATCCCCCCTATCTCCGGCAAAAAAAAATCAAAAAAAAAAAAATCAAAATAAGGCGTACGATAATACTGTCTGCTTTGGCCATTCGCACACGACTCTTCTCTTCTCTTATTTCATTCTAATTTTCAATCTTCCCCTATCTCTTTGCCGCCCGTCTCCATGGCAAGGTCTGCCTCGCCTCCCAGATAAGGGGCTGCAAGAGAGAGAGAGAGAGAGAGATTGGCAGATATGCTTACGTCGTCAATATTACGCACGTCTCCGTTGCGACTACATCCGGAAATGTCACGCAGACTGCAAACCCTCGGTCCAGGGGGGTCTGCCTCCATCCCAGCTTAACACCGGGTACATATATTATACGTGTACTCGTAGTAGTAGCAGTAGTAGCAGTAGGTGATGCTACCCTCCCCGTAGCGTAGCCTCTCGTTGAATCGCCGCCCGCCTGCAAGGGCTTCTTCTGTTGGCTCTTACCTTCTACGTCGCATTCGTGCGGTACGACCCATGTACAGTTGACAGCTGACAAGTCCACGGCATCCAGTCTACCCGGACAAAAGGGCTACGGCATAATAATACAGGTACTGACTGTGCCGCTGTCACGTGGAATGGGAAACTGTACGTGCGTACTGGTGACGATACCTATGAAGAACGGGAAGAAGCAGGAGCACAGCGGGAGACATCTTATCGAGATGTGCCGAGTACGCATATGCCCCTACCCGAGTCTACGGCAACAGAGACGTCGTCAAACGACACTGCATGCAACTGCACCGAGATGGACCACACCGAGGCGACGCCGTATCTGGAATGGTTTCGACGAGACGGGCAAGACGCACATCACCGCGTAGCTCCGTGGTATCCTCGGGCGTATACGATCGATCCATCCTCTGCCTCGGGGTTCCAAGGCCGTCGGTGACTGCACCGGTCGTGTATCGGTACGACTACACCCTGCTTCTCGGAATCAGGGAAGGCTCTCGCGGACCACGGACGTAGCTTTTACGAGCCACCTGCGTCGCCCTGCTCCACTGCGAACCTCCAGCCTGGAAGCATCTCTCGTCTACAGCGTTTGCTGCTATGATCGGCTGGGAAGAGGCCGGGTACTGGGACTATGTCGTGTTCTTCCCCCACCCATCCGGGCAAGGTGCCAACGACATCTTCCCTCAGCCTGGCCGCGCTGGGCTGTTTGGCCAACACGTTCTATGACCCGCAATACGCGGTAAATCGATTGGCTGTATGCTGAAGCACGGGGCGTGCTGTCCTCGTCTCGAGAGCATCGTCTCCCTCAGCTGAGCCACTGGCCCTGCGTGACATGTGGTGTCACGCGCACGCGGTAGCAATGTCGACCAATTCGTACCGTACGTCGCACTCCGTAATGACGAAACTCCTCTCAGGATGGCGATCGACAATGGGGCCTGGGGGCGGCTATCACATCTACGCTGCAGCCTGCAGGCATACAACGAACGCAAGGGGGTGTGTGTAAGACATGTAACACATGTACATGTGCCCGCGGATGATACCATTCTCTATCAATATTACCTGTACGAGTACAGCTTCCACAATTACGAATACTGCCCAGCAGCAGTGGCTGCCAAGCATGAAGCAGTGCAGCGTAGTGGTAGAATCCGTCGGATATGTGTCGTGGTAATAATGATACATATACAATCGATACTATTATGCCTTACAAGTAAGTCTAGCGATACTGCGGATCATTACTGCGGATCATGCCTCCGCGGCCCTTGCGGTCTTACGGAGACGAGAATGATTTTAATACTAGTATCCATCCGTACTCCCTCTTGCCAAGGCCCTGTCCCTGCAACCATTGGTTCGAACAGAGTTGAGGACGGCAATCAGCATCGGATAAGATGTGTGGAGTTGGTTAGCCAATTTAGTGTAGGATATCACCTGAAGTTGCTTGGACAGGATACATACATTGACGGAGTACTCCGCACTCCGTCTACAATCGCAGTAGTCATGGGTTTTAATATAGTCGGTACTCGTACATGTAGTAGTAGTATTGGCATTATGGAAACCAGTTTACGTATCAGGTTGATCATTAACGAGTCTGCTGTCGGATAGGGAGCTCTTGGACCCCCCTCCCTTCTTCTTTCCTTCTCCTCGTCGTCCTATATACATGCTATTATTGGTGCAGCGCAGCAGCTTCAAAGCTCATATCCACTGATACCATGCACCCGTCATCTCATCAGCCCAGGTACCTCGCCCGGAGACCCATGATCAACTGGAGGATCAGGCGAGAACGGGGGAGGGGAGGGGGGTCAATCTTGCAGGTTCACTGTCTAGTATGTAAGAACTATATGCTTTCAGCTTCATCCTCCCCCCCCATCTCACTAACCAATATCATCGGAGACTGTCTGTCTGTGGAAGCAAAACCCCTTATATCCGCACGTACATGATATGTGAATCGCTTTGTTTATACTCCGTAGGTATTACTACATAATATACGTACACGTACGAGTAGTAGCGCATTCCTTCTCGCAGTCACGTGAACTCGTGACATCCAGCTCCAGACATGTGGAACCACCACGTCAATTGAAGGATTGCTAAATCTCAGCAATGAGAGCTCATCAAAAGGAGAGAGAGAGGCGCAACAGGAACCCCCCCGCTCTCCCCGCCATCGACCATGTTGGAACTTCACATCTGGGGACCAGCCTTTGGTCTCACCTCCATAGACCCAGAGTGCATAGCCATAGCAGCCTACCTGCAAAGGGCAGTACCTAGTCCGTCATCGTGGCGTCTCATCCCGAGCAATGACGCATCCATCAGTCCAACAAGTGAGTACCATCATGTCAGCATCACCCCACATGCGCAGCTACACTACTGACAAGACGAAATAAAACAAAAAGATCACCTTCCAGCCCTCAACCACAACGGCGTATGGACCAGCGGCTTCCGCCATATAGTCGGCTACCTGTCCCGTCACGGTCTGGCGTCCGACCTGGACGGCCATCTGACGACGAGGCAGAGGGCCGACTCGGCGGCCTACTCGTCCTTCCTGGCCGAGCACGCCGCCCCGCTGGTTGATCTGTCGCTGTACGTGTCCGCCGCCAACTGGAGTGCCGCCACGCGACCCGCCTACGGCGACCTGCTCCCCTGGCCCCTTACCTGGACCGTCCCTCCTCTGATCCGCCAGCAGGCCATCGACCGGTCGCAGCACCTGGGTCTGGCCGAGCTGGACGGCGATTTCGACCCCACCCGCGGCCTCCATCTGTCCACCGGCCGCGAGTCCCTCCCCGAGTCCTTCCGGAGGCATCTCCCCGCCACGGCCTCCAACCGCTCCGTCCGCGAGTCCATGACCCCCGAGCAGGCCACCGCCATACGACTCTTCAGCCTGGCCGGTGACTGCCTCTCCGCCCTGACCAACCTCCTCTCCCAATCCTCATCTTCATCGTCAGATAAGGATGGCGGCACGGCCCGCACCACTGACACCGCCGCCACCCCCGCCGCCACACTTCTCGGCGGTCCTTCCATCTCATCCCTCGACTGCTTAGCCCTAGGCTACCTGTCTCTCATGCACGATGCCCCCGTGCCCCGCGCATTCCTGAGGGACTACATCGACCAGAAGGCACCGCAGCTGAAGGGCTACATGGCAGGCGTGAGGCGCGCGTGCTCCTCGCTGCAGGAGCCGCCCGTCGCGCCACCGCTGCCCAACACCTTCCTCTCCGTGACCACTCGCGCCCTCGACACCGCCATCCGCAACGCCCCCGGGCTTGGTGAGTACTACGCCGACGAGGCACGGTATCGCGCCGAGCACGACATCCACGGCCTCGACCGACGCGCGCTCATGCTGGTCATGGGTGTCGTGGTCACCGGTGCGGCCGTGGGGTACGGCGTCGTGGCCTACAGGGCCATGCCGCCGTTCGGCACGCGCAGACAGGTCTGGACCCAGTCTCGCGCCTCCAGCAAGCTCGCCCAGTTCGGCGACCTGGGTTCCATCATTAGCGGCGCTCTCGGACCGATGCCGTCGTCGGCGTCCGTCCCGGCGTCTACGGGCCGCCTGGTCGACACCGATGCCGAGTTGGATTAACGGCCCCTCCCCCTGTATACGAAAACCACCACGCACGTACGCACACCGCATGTATAATAGACCGGGCTTCTTTTTCAACCTCTGAAGGATACACCACGACATAATCCGTCACCCAATCTCATGTATAGATGTAATGCATTCGGCTCTGAATGATGAAACCATTTCCCACCGTTACGTCTATTGTCATATGCTCTTTTTTATTGTATTTTGTGATTTTCTTTTTGCTGCCTCGTATACTCGTATGCTCTCATTCTTTTTATGGAGAGCAAATGATATCTGATGGAAAAGAGGGCTACTATATTTGCTTGACGTCCTTGCCAACCATTTCAGGTCTCTCAACCTCCCACTCATCCCTGAGGACGGCAAAGGCCAGGTCCGAGACGAGGAGGCTCTGACCCAGGCTCCAGACCAACGTGATTGCGTAGAAGAAGTTTGCGTTCCCGCTGCCTGCGTAGATCCAGAGATGGTAAAAGGCCGGACCGAGAAATGTGGCGTAGAGAAGGGTGGCCGAGGCGACAAAGGTGTAGCGCATGAGGGGGAAGACGTGTCGGTAGAGGGGTAGTATGGCGAGGAAGACACTGGTGTCGGCGACCGAAGGGTAGGGCTTGAAGATGGAGAAGATGCCTAGCATGAGGGAGATGGCGACGAGGGGCTGGGTGCGCAGGCGGATCGTCAGGCCGCCGACGTATGACACCAGGTGCAGCCAGAAGACGGCTAGGAAGAAGGACCGGAACGAGTCGAACATTTCGATGAAGAAGTACCACCACAGACCAATGTTTGGCGTCAGGTCCGACAGCGTCAGCTGTATGCCGTACGTGCGCCCCAGGAAGTCCCACGAGTTGCCCGTCAGCGCCGATGACATGCCTAGCAGTACCGTCAGGCACCCGGCCACCACGGCCACGTTGCGTAGCGTGAACTGGAAGACCGAGTCGATCCGCCGCTTGGGCGGCTGTCGGTCGAAGGCGAGGAGGATCAGCGGCGGCAGAAGGAGGATCGGGTACATGGACAGGTATGATGCGAACGACAGGGCCACCATGGCATTGAACGGCGACCCGCGGATGGCTCGGGCCACGGCGTGTAGGACGGCGCAGTTGGTGAAGACGCTCGTCGTCCGGCCCACGCAGCTGGCGATCGTCAGGGGGTTGAAGAGGAAGCTGATACGGTCATCTGTCATGTCAGCATTCGGATCTGGCATCTGGGAAGCATTGGTAGTAGTGGCGGTGGTGTATGGGGACATACGCAGCTGCGACAACCAAGCTACACGTCTTCTTGGCCCGTCGCGGCGACGCAAACAACCTCGCGTTGCCGGCCTCTCCCGAATCAGATATCTTGACGAGGGCATCGGCACTGACGAGGTCGACGAGGATGTATAGGAGCGCCGTGAATATAGGCCAGGTCTTGACGTCGGGGAGGAGCGAGAAGAGGGGGAGCAGCAAGGGCGCCTGGTGATAGACGCCTCCATCGTAAGGCCAGACATTGTGGTTGTAGAGGAACAAGCCTTCTTGCACTAAGATGGGGGGACCGCGTCAGCTTATCGGGAGGGGAGGAGCTTTTCAGAGAAAGGTCCTAAGAACAGGTTCGGACCGGAACGTACGTCGCTTGAAGCTCGTGACGGGTGTCGAGATCTCAACGCGTCCGGTCAAGAGGTCTGGCAGGCGGGGGAAGACGACAAATAGAACAAGTCGCAACAAGGCGGCGCCAGCATAGACGCCAGCCTTGCTCCTCGGAGCCGTTGCTGAAGCCATAGAATCTCTCTGTATTGGTCTATTCATCCCACAACTCCCAGGCTCAAAAGGGAGGAGTGGTGATCTGGGGAGGGGAGGTAGGTGGGCAAGATATCCCACCGTGAATAGTAGAATAGCCACCCTGGCGGAATCCAGAAGTTAAATCACAGGCAGGTATTAACACGAAGTCGCCAGGGATTGGAAGCCCCCGGGCCAGAGCTCCAGCGGTCTTACAGGTGGGGCGAGTGCGGGAATCTGGTAACTCTTCCCCTACGTTTTTTATTTACTTGGGGCCTATTCCGTTCGACTTTGGGGGAGTCAGTACGATAATAGCCAGTTTCTAAGCACCTAGACAGCCCCATAGCACCCACAGCACCAGTACAGCAGCAGAAACTCCACGCTAAGCCTCAATTGCTACAAGTCATAAGGCGGTCAATACTGGCAGTAAAAAAAAAAACAGGACGGCAAAAAAAAAAAATAGTATCGCAGAACCACAAAGAGGCCCCGCCACCGATATACAATACATACATACTATATTCTTTCAACACCAAAGCATTGGACCATTCACTTGACACAATGCCTAGAATCAAGAAGAGAGGTCAGGCTGGCGCGGCCAAGAACTACGTCACCCGCAACCAGGCAATTCGAAAACTCCAAATCAGCCTGCCCGACTTTCGCAAGCTCTGCATCTGGAAAGGCATCTACCCACGCGAGCCCCGGAGCAAGAAGAAGGTGTCCAAGTCGGCGACCAACTCGACGACCTTCTACTACTCGCGTGACATCCAGTACCTCCTCCACGAGCCGCTCCTGCAGCGGTTCCGCGATCAGAAGGCGCTCGAGAAGAAGATCTCCAAGGCGCTGGGAAGGGGGGATGTGACCGACGCCGCCCGCCTCGAGAAGAATGCCGCCAGGCCGGAGCAGACGGGCAAGCCGCGGTACACGCTCAACCACCTGATCCGTGAGCGGTATCCGACCTTCATCGACGCTGTGAGGGACCTCGACGATTGCCTGTCGATGCTCTTCATGTTTGCCAACCTGCCGTCGACGTCGTCGGTGCCGGCCAAGATGATTGCCCGCTGCGAGCGCCTGTGCCTCGAGTTCCAGCATTACCTCATCGTGTCGCGCAGCCTGACCAAGTCGTTCCTCTCCATCAAGGGCGTCTACTACCAGGCCAGAATCAAGGGGGAGGAGGTCCTGTGGCTCGTACCCTACAAGTTCAACCAGCGCATCGTCGGCGACGTCGACTTTCGCATCATGGGCACCTTTGTCGAGTTCTACATGACCCTCCTCGGCTTCGTCAACTACAGGCTCTTCTCCTCCATCGGCATCAAGTACCCCCCCAAGTTCGATCAGGTTCAGGACGAGAACGCCGCCGAACTCGGTGCCTTTACCCTCGAGGGCCTCACCCTCATGGGCGGCAGCGACGGCAACGCCCAGATCCAGAAGCAGCTCGAGGCCAGCGCCACCGTCACCGCTCACAAGCCCGATCCCAAGGTCCAGGCCGCCGTCGACGAGGTCATCAAGCAGATCGAGAATGGCGAGCAGCAGCAGCAGCGGGAGGAGGAGGTGACGACGGCCGAGGACGACGAGGCCGCCGCCGCCGAATCCGAGGGCATCGATAAGTTTGAGCCCATCGCCAGCGGTGGCGACGTCCTACCCCAGCCTACCGAGTCCACCAACGAGCACTCCCTCTTCGCCAACTGCACATTCTTCCTGTCGCGCGAGACGCCCAGACAACCTCTCGAGTTCCTTCTTAAGTCGTTCGGCTGCAAGAAGGTCGGGTGGGACGCCGTCCTCGGCGGAGGCGCCTGGACGACCGATGAGCTCGATCCGGCCATTACCCACCAGATTGTCGACCGACCCCCCGTCCAGGTCGCCGCCGAGGACACCGCCGAGCCGGCTGCCGAGGACAGCCAGACGGCCCGCAAGCTGGCCGCCAACAGGCGCGTGCCCGGCCGCATCTACGTCCAGCCTCAGTGGGTGTGGGACAGCGTCAACGACGCTGAGCTCAAGGAGCCGCACCTGTACGCCCCCGGTGCCGACCTTCCGCCTCATCTCAGTCCCTTTGTCAAGAGCGTCCAGGGCGCCTACGACCCCACCATCCCTCTCGAGGAGCAGGAGCCCGCCCAGGAGGCCCTGGAGGCTGCCAGCGACGAGGACGAGGATGAGGAGGCCAACGCCGAGGGCATGGATGTTGCCAACTCGGACGAGAATGACGACGACGACGACGACGACGACGACGAAGACGAGGATGAGGATGTCGAGGATGAGGATGTCGAGGATGATGCTGACGAGGATGAGGATGAGGATGAGGATGCCGAGGCCGAGCGCCAAGCCGAACTCGAAGCTGAGCTGGCCGGCGGCGCTGTCAAGGCTAAGCCCGCCGCTAACAAGAAAGCCAAGGCCAGGGAGGACGCCCGCAAGGCCCTCATCAAGAAGCAGCGCGAGGAGGAAGAGGACATGGAGCGTGCCAAGGGTATGCTCAGCAAGAAGAAGCGCAAGCTGTTTGAGCAGATGCAGTACACCAACACCAAGAAGAGCGCCGAGGACGAGAAGCTCAGGGCCAAGAGGAGAAAGTTTGAAAAGGAGAGGCAGCGCAAGGAAAAGGGCAAGGCCTGAGCAGTTCCTGAGAAGAAAAGGGGAGGACGGGAATTATAGAAGGAGAAGAAGGGAAAGATGAGAAAAGAAGAGAAAAAAAATAAAGGAACGAGCTGGTTGTATACGCATACTAAGCTGAATGATGCACTATAGAATTTCTGTAAATTCGGGGCGGAGTAGTGGAATTGTGTGTTTGTATTTTGTTGCAATGTCAATTCATATATTCATATATTCATATCCTAGTAGTTTTGTACGTGAATGTGAATGTGAATATGCGTATGGACGTAATACAGTATAAAGGATTGCTGTGGTTGGTAATGACGATATTCTGGGCAAATATGCGATGAGGGTCAAATATTTTTTTTCCTTCTCCCCTGCTAGTATCACTCTCAACTCATCATCCCATCCATTCACTCATTCACGCAGACGCACGAAATACACACAGAATCACATTAGATGACCCTCTTGTCTTAGAAAAGCCCATGGGGCTTCCTTTCCGCCATATAATAACTCACTAGGCCATGCAAAGACGATGGAACGAGATGAACAGGACCATCCCACCAGCATATCCGTTCAGTGGAAGGAGCTCGACAACGACGAGATCGCCTCAGTCGCCTCTGAGGACCTGCACAAGAACCGCCCCAACCGCTGGCGCGGCGCCAAATCGACATGGCGCGCCCTGACCGAGGAGGAGCGTCGACTGTGGTGGTCGATGAGGCGGTTAGGCGACCAGGATCTAAGCATACACCTGTACAATGCCTTTGCCCTCAAGAAGCAAGGGAAAGACCCGGCCACGGCACAGGACCTCACAGTTCAGAGGGTGAGAGCAAGCTTCTTCTCCTCCTTTTCCGCTTTACATATTGCCTACCCTCTAGGGGGATTCTCGTTCTCGTTCGAGTAGATATACATACTGAATGAACTGCAGGAGAACGGTGAGAATGTCGTCTGGGCCCCCCCAAAGTCATGGACGGCGTGGCCGCTCGGCGACGGCCGACTACCAGAGGAGGACTTCGTGGCGCGGCAGGACGACGACGGCAATGACAGATTTACGTTTCGCAAGAAGGAAGTCAAGATGCCCAGCAGTGACCTGCACGACGAGCTCGACGCTACCATTCTGCGCATGGCCAAGAAGCGCTTCCTGCGGCGGAAGAAGCGATGGGACGCGGTACGTCCCTCGGTAGAAGCTGCCGCGGAGCATGACCAGGAATCGGAACCGAGACAAGGAGGAGAAGAAGAGGGAGCAGAAAAAGAAGGAGCAGAAGAAGGAGGTTTCGCTGCCACTGGAGACGCAGCACGGCAGAAACAGAAGCGGCAGTCCATCGTCGATGCCGGCGACGAGTACCAAGAGGAGGAGCCTCGCCGCCGCTACCGCCAACAAGCAAGATGGGGCAGTGTCCCACGAACATTCGAGCCCACCGTCCTCGCAAACGATGACTACGCCCACCGGCTCCTAGCGCCGTCTGTCCGCCACACGCTCACTCGTCTGGACTCGACACTGCAAATCCTACACTACACGCGCGCCACGGCCGGCAATGACTCCGAGTCGTCCACGGGCGACGACACGGACCACTCGCAGCCTACCACGCCTCGGCGCCACAAAAGACCACGGATCAGCACGGCGGAGCTGCAGCAGCAGCAGCAGCAGCAGCAGCAGCAGCCAAAGATGACGAGACGCGGTCGCCCTCGCAAAGCCCAGATTCCCCTTGAGGGCGAGACGCGCGAGGAGATGGAGCTCCGCATAGCACGCCAGAACCACCGGCGTCTTCCGCCCAAACAAGACGCCCTCAGCTTCGAGGAGTGGCTCCGCCAGGGCGACGAGAGGCGAGCTCGAGGACAGGAAGAAAATGGCGTTCACAACGGCGACGACGACGGCAGCAGCGACGGAAGCAAAAGAAGCAACGCAGACGAGAAGCTACCCTCTGCATCTACAAGATCTACCGCCGCCTTCGCCGCCGTCAACAGAGACAGACGCCTGGGTCTTCGCGACTGGAGCGACGTCATCGGCGCCGCTTCCCTGGCAGGCTTCCACCCTTCCGTGATCGCCCGCACGGCAAAGCGGTGCGCCACCTTATTCGGCGAGACCATGACGGTGCGCACTCTGCACGAGGTCCCCGTCTCGCGCGGGACGGGCGTACAGACTGTGCACCACGAGCCAAGCGTGCCCGACATGGCACCTCTCTCCTCCGCCAATGAGGACGAGGTCGACAACTACTCGTCGTCGTCATCTGCGGCATCGACCGTCTCTCGCCGCAGCCACAGCCGCAGCTACAGTCGCAGCCGTAGCCGCCTCCGTCGCACGACGACTACTTCGCGCCAGGGTTCCCGGGCACCTACATCGCCGCCGCCGCGCTTCGGGACGCCCTCGTCCGCGCGCGCGCGGTCGCGTTCGCGCTCCGCCTCGGCAGGCCAGTTGCACTTCTGCCCTGTCCTCGGCTGTCAGCGTGCAGCCAGGGGTTTTCCCCGTCGGGCCAACCTGAGACGACACATGACCCTCGTGCATGGCGGCGGTGGCGGCGGCGGCGGCGGCGAGGACGGCGTCGTCGGAGCTGGTAATCATGTTCCCTCGTCGCCGGGCGGAACCACCATTAATTCGGCTGGCGTCGACAGCGACGACGAGGTCGTCGGTGCGGTGCACGTAGATGGCTTCCTCCGAGCCGTGGTCCCCGGTCGTGGGGGGTGGCAGAACGCGCCTGCGAGTGCTACGGCCAGAAAGCGCAGGAGGGTGCGCAGGAGGAGAGGGCGGAGTGGTAGTGAAGACGATAGTGACGAAGCCGAGTACGACGGTGACTCTGATTAGATCAAACTGTTCCGTGACTCTGATATGAAACCATATCCTATAATTGAACCATTTTCCTGCGTATACTCTGGGTATCAATTTCTCGCTATGCTCTAATCAAACCGCTTCCCCTTTTGAAAAACGAAAATGCAGTCCAGGAATATGTTTATGAAAACAAAGTGTATCAATGTAGAAGATTATAAGAAAAACAAGACAAGTATTCCACCAATCTCTCTCCAAAAACTCCGACGCATAAAAAAAAACAGAGGAAAGTAAAGAATGACAAGACGTGTGTCGTCGCAGAATGTGATAGCGCTGTTTTTGTCTTCAACCTGGAAACTCCTCGTGGATGTATTCCCTTTATTTAAACCTAGGACTCTTTCTCCTTGATCCGCCCTGCGCAAACGCAGACACTGTCGGGGGTAGATTTTCCCTGCCCTCGCCAGTCTGCTTCCTGGCTATGCCACTTCCCAAGATCGATCTCGTGCCACCGTGCTTGAGAAGTGGCATGGTGTCGTCGGCGGGGGCGGGTATCATGCTCGACTCGACGGCAGCATTGCTAGTCGTCAGGTTGGGATCGACCTCGCGGAGGCTGGTGTTGTGCGCCGTCGAGGCGGTGGATGGGCGGCGGGCAGTGGATGGACGGCCGGCTGGTGATGACTTGGACGAAGGGTCGAGGTCGGCAAAAACCATGGTGTTATTATTGTCGTTACTTATGTCGCGGTGTTCGTCTTCCTCGTCGTTGTCGCTGTCAATCTCGCCGGCGCCAGGATGACCTTTGTCTCCTCCTTTTGCTTCTTCTCCCCCAACCTCTCCAATGCTGCTCTGCTCCTGCTGTTGCGACAGGGAGGCCAATCGGGCAGCGGAGGTGGATGTCGTGATAGAGGTGCGTGGCAACTTGGTTGGGTACTGGTATGTCACCTTTTGCGGCGTCTCACCTGTCGACTGGTACTCCTGCAAGGCGGTGTTGGAAATGTCGTCGCGCAGGTTGGCGAGCGGCTGGCAGATCTGCGAGTCGAGGGGCTCGAGACCGTCGCGGAGGTCGTTGATGTCCAGATCCATCTCCTCTCCAAGGTTTCTGACGCGGTCAAACGTCGTCTTGAAGTGGCCTGAGACGCTTCCAAGCGACTGTTCAACCGTGTTGGACATGCTCTTGACCGTCTGGGTGTGGACATCGTGGTGTGCTGCGTTCTCAGCCTTGGCACGCGTAACAAAGTCGTCGAGGGCTTCCATTTCCGTGTCCAACCCCTCAACCTGCTCGCCCACGACGCGCACCGCTTCGGCGTGCACATTCTTGGCGGCGTTCTGTATAGCCGTGCTGCGGTCGTTGGCTGCTGTCCAGTCGTCCTTGAGCTTCGTCTTGAGCTGGTCCCGCGACTTCTTGACCTCCTCGAGCACTTGGCCCTCCTTGGCATCCCAGTCGGCCATGGCCTGCGAGTGCTGCGACCTGACTCCCTCGACCATCTCGCCAGTCTCGTCCACGCCCTTCTTCACCCGGGAGCTGTGGTCGGAAAAGCGAGATTGCTGGGCATCGACAAACGCGGTGAAGAGGCTAGAGAATTGCGCCATGAACTTGTGAGCCTCCTCCGCCGAGCTACGCCGTTCCTCCTCCTCGCTCTCCTGTATCTTGGCCGAGACAGCTGCACTTTGCTGGCCGATGCTGTTCATTCCAGTGTCTACCTGGCGGGAGTGGTTGCTGGCCTCACTCCGCTGGGTCGTGAGATGCTTGACCAGGTCATCAAAGATGGACTTGAAATCTTTTCCAAGGGCGCTGTAGGAACCGTGGAGCTAGAAGGAAATCCGTTAGCCGATGATGTAGTGCGAAGGGTCCTGGGTTCGGTTCCGTCTGGGCAACGTACCTGGCTGTGGAGGCCCATAGCTTCATCCACAAGCTCGGCAGCAATCTTCTCGCCCATCTTAGAGATGGTGGCTCGGAGGCTGTCGCCGACGCGCACCTTTACGTTGTCGCGGATGATCTTGATGTCCTCGAGGATTTCGTCCATGTCATCCTTGGATTTGAGCTTCTGCTCGAGAAGCCCTCTCGTGGAATCACTAAACATGTCAAGACTCTCATCGAGGAGCGACTGGGTTGAGGTAAGTCTCTGGAGCTCCTCCTGGACGAATTCCCCCATGCGGTGCGAGATGCTACCTATCTGCTCGTATTGCTCCTCCTTAAACTCCTGCACACGACGCTCAATCATGGACGTGACGTCGGCGACATGGTCTTGCGATGTGCCCCAAGTGGCGCGGTTGACAAGCTGGAGGTCAGACTTGCGCTTATTCTTGGCGTGGAGACCCGAAACGTCATGGACAGTCTGGTTGAGCTTGCCGATGAGTTCGTCACCAATCTTGGCTAGCTTTCCCTCTGTCTGGGCGTGGGCTTTTCGCAGCTCCGTCTCTCGGGCAAGCGAATCCCTGGTGTCGGCAAGGACAATCTCGACCTTGTCCAAGAGGCCCTTCGTATCGTTGAGGAGGGCCTTGGTGGACTCGTGGTCCTTTTTCAGGCCCATGAAGTTGGTGGTGAGGGAGAAGAGCTCCTGCACCTTGTTGCGCAGGTTGGACTCCAGCGTCTCCACCTTGGCTGACTTCTCTTCAAGCACGATCCTGTTCGACTCGCTCTGTGCCGTCATCTCCTCGTACGCTTCGTTGGACAGGTAGACACCGTTGCGCTGCCTCGTCGCAATGAGGTCGCTCTTGAGCTTCTCGATCTCGGCGGTGAACTCTCTTAGAAGCGTCTTCTTGTTGAGCATGGCGTTGAGCTGGGGCTTGTTGCGGATGTTCTTGGCGCGGAAGGCGTAGTCTAGCGTGGATATTGTCTCCTCGAGGTTCGTCTTGGCCGGTGATATGGTGGCGATGATGCATGTCTTGGTGCGTCCACCCAGTGAGTCTTGCAGCAGACGCGTGAGCTTGGATTCTCGATAGGGGATATGAGCGTTGCGGTCGACGAGGGCGTTGATGACGCGCCCCAGAGTAAGAAGCGATTTGTTGATTAGGCCGGCCTCGGCTGCCCGCTTGTTCTCGGCACCGGATCTCTGGATGTTTTCACTTCCCGCCAGGTCAACAAGGTTGAGCTTGCCGCCGGCGACAAGGTCCTCACCGCCGTTCTCGTTGGTCTTCTTGACGTAGGCCGTGATGGTGAAGACAGTATGACTGCGGGAACTCAGGTCGTTGCACTTTGTCGCGGCAACCTGGCGCTTCAAGCTACCGTCCTGGAGTACCTTGATTCCCTCAGCCGCATTCTTTATGTGCTTCTCTTCCATTCCCTGCACGATGGTGCCCAAATGCCCCCGCCGCGACGCGTCGTCGTAGATCCTGAGCTTAGTTGCCTCCTCGACCGACAGAAGGTCGCGCAGCTCCTCGTTGTATAGTTCGATAAAGGAGCACTTGACGCAGTTCTCCGTGTCGTCGAGCTCGAGCTTGTTGAACAGGTTCTGGAGTACACGAGGGATGATTCCAGCCTCATCCGAGAGCATACCTAATGTCTCTGTCATGTCGCCTGACATAGTGTAGGTCTTTCCGGTTCCCGTCTGGCCATACGCAAAAATAGTGCAGTTGAACCCAGCGAGCATCTGTACAAGGTATCGATGTTAGTTTCGCTGTCTTTCCTGTCTGGTTGGATTGCGATATATGTAAACGCACATCGTCAAGTATAGGTTTCACCGTGTCATCGTATACCATGCTCTGGTCGGCAGCCGGTGCGAAGACGCGGTCGAAGCTGTACGTCTTGTCGCTTATGGCCGAGGCGCCCATGGACAGCTCGACGAGTTTTCCCCTGGTGGCATCCGTGTTGACGACGACGGTGCTGTTCTCCTTGACCTCGCGCGGGTTGCGACCGCGACAGCGCACCACGACATTGATGTTTGTCTCGCCGAGGCCGGGGTGCGGCGCCTCAAAGTCCCGTTCCTTACGCTTCGAACCAGCACCCGTACTCGCCGTCACTGTCGACATGGTCATGGCCGATGCCACTGACTCTGTCGGCGACACCGCGCCCGACCGGTCTATCGGCGGAGCACGCGTGCGCACCTGTCTCCCTGTCGTCGCCTGTCGTACTGTCGGCTGCCTTAGGCTTGTTGTGCGACTACCAGTGCCAGGCCGAATGCTGGATCTACCCGCCTCGCGCTCGGAGCGCGTCGATCGTTGATACATCGTGGCGTTGTATGTGCATGTGTATGCAATGCGTGTTTGCACGTAGCGGTGAATGCCGTGGCAGTTATGTTCGGCACCCAGGTGAAAAGAAAAAGAAGAGACGTGTGGCGAAGGCGTCTACACCACAACACAACGCAATTAAGCAATGCGCAACGAAAAAGAAAAAGAGGGAAGACGATGAGAAATGATATTAACCAACAAATTCACACCCGACCCGGCAAACAGATGACTACTAAAGTGGGGTCTTGGTGTGGTGAGTTTGAATTGCAAGAATCTTTGGAGAGGAGGCGCGTGCGTGCTGCGCTTGCAGGGGGCGGGGACATCAATATTGACACGCTCGTTGCCTGGACAACCCCAACGTGCTCCCTTGTCTCTATGCAACTTCCGGGCTCCAGCACGCGACAAATGGACCATAACTAGATATGAGATAATGAGACAATGGTGGCCTTCAACTCGATAGACGATAGAAAGATGTGCTATACGATAATTTACTAATTTACCATTGTCGGCTAAGTCGTATGTATTCCTGAATTATCTCCTAGAATCTTCTTGTTGTTAGCCTCTTATACTGCACTAGTAGCAGAAGCTTTCAATGATCGGTCGGTTAGCTCAGTTGGTTAGAGCGTCGTACTAATAATGCGAAGGTCATGAGTTCGACCCTCATACTGACCATATCTTTTTGCCTCTTTGAGCCTTCCTAAGTGTGCCCTTCTTTATAGAAAAAGATTGACGACGAATCTTTGTCATTCCACCCTAGATATCTTTTTTTTTGTCTTTAGAGAAAGAAAGAACATCAATGAATAAGGGAGAGAAAGAAAACATAGGGACTCTAATGATAGTTTTTTATTATGTTAACTCAATACTAGTGCTACTGCATGCCTAAAAACACTTTTCCGGGAAACTTATAATACTATACTCGTAGTTGGCCATGACATTCTCTCAATACTCAGGCTTAAACATCGAATATGAAAAAAAAATGGAACCAGGACAGAAAAAAAAAAGAGGCTGATCATTATAACGCCAAACGTGATATGCATCTCGAAAGGGGGGGTAAGGAGTTGAATCCGAATACGAACATGCTCACTGAGAGCTACTCTTCTCATCTGAGTTGACAGTGTTGTCCTCTCTTTCGCGGAGGGTGTTGAGTCCGGTCTTGTGCTCGGTGTGGTCCTTGCTCAAACGAACCTGCTTGATAAAGAGACTGACGATGAAGCCGGCGGCGGCGAAGCACGTGTAGACAATGTACATGGTCTGCATGGCATTCCAGTAGGCGTCGCGGGCGACCTTGCCGTCGTGGCCCTTGAGGGCGGCGACGAGGCGGACGCTGCCAGTGGCGTTGGCACCGGACAGGTGGGCGGCGAGCTCGGGGCCCAGCTCGGCGATCAGGCGGGTCTGCTGCTTCTGCATCTCGTTGTTGAAGATGATGCCGCCGACGACGACGGAGACCGAGGTGCCTATCTGGCGGAGGAAGGAGAAGAAGGCGGTGGCGGAGCCGATGTCCTTGGGGGCGACGTTTGTGTGGAGGGCGATGAGGGGCGCCTGGAAGTTGGGGCCGATGCCGATGCCGGCGACGACCTGGAAGAGCGCGAGCTTGACCCAGTCGCGGTCGGGGCCGAGGTCGATGAAGAGGCCCAAGCCGAGAGTATTGATGGCGAGGCCGATGGAGATGAGGAGCTTGTACTTTCCCGTCTTGACGATGATGAGGCCGGTCGTGGCGGAGACGAGCGACAGGGCGACGACAAAGGGCAGCAGGTAGACGCCGGACATGAGGGACGAGACGCCCAGGACGCCCTGGAAGTAGAGCGGCAGCCAGTAGCTCCCGGACATGAAGGCCATGGAGTGGAAGAAGCTGATGCCGTAGGCGGCGAGGCTGGTGCGGTGGCGGAACAGGTGCAGCGGGGCGAGCGGGTGGGTGGCCACCTTCCACTCGTTGACGACGAAGAGGCCGAGGGTGACGACGCCGAAGACGACGAGGCAGATGACGGTGGCCGACGCCCAGGGCTTGACGACGCCGCCGAACTCGAGGCCGATGAGGAGCATGAGCGTGCCGCCGATGACGAGCAGGCTGCCCGACCAGTCGATGGCGGCCAGCCCCTGGCGGATGGGTGTGCGCGGGTTGTGCAGCTTGAGCATGAAGAACAGGATGGCCAGCGAGATGCCCGACAGCGGCAGGTTGATGTAGAAGCACCACCGCCACGAGACGCGGTCGGTGAAGACGCCGCCGAGGATCGGCCCCACGGCCGACGAGATGGCCCACACCATGCCCAGGATACCAAAGTACATACCCCTCTTGCGGATGGAGAAGAGGTCCGACACGCAGATGTTGGGCAGCACCACGGCACCGCCACCACCCACGCCCTGCACCGCCCGCGCCGCGATGAGCATCGCCATGCTGTTGGACACGGCGCACAGCAGGCTCCCGATCCAGAAGATGGACACGGCCATCAACAGCACCGGCTTCCGCCCGAATATGTCCGAGATCTTGCCCCACGTTGGCACGAAGGCCGCGTTCCCCAGCACGTAAGCTCCCCCGACCCACACGTACCCCTGGCTCGAGTGGAAGTGTGCGGATATGGACGGCAGCGCGGTCGTGATGATGGACACGTCCAGTGCCGCCAGGAAGAGCGCCATGCACAGCGCCAACACCACCAGGAACGTCTGCCAGTTCGTGCGCTCCGCCTCGGGATCACCAGCTGCCGCCGTCGGCTGCGGAGGAGCTACAGCAGCTTCTGTGTCCACCCCTTCCTCCTTGTCCGAGACCGCCACACCACTCTCGCTTGTACTGCTTTCGCTGTTGTTTTTGGTGTCACCGTCAGCAATGGTTGATTCTGGTCGGGGGCCGACGACCTCGTCTCTGGAGCCCGGTGGCCGCTCTTGGTGAGTCATGACGGCAGTCTGTCTCAACTTTTGGTGTGTGTGTGAGTGTGAGTGTGTGTCTTGGTTATAAGGCTGGATGTTGTGCAGTGTTACTCAACGAAGCAATATCAAGTCTGGGTCATGAGAGAGAAATGGGGAAAAGAGAAACACCTCAAGTGAAGATTACTGTAAAAGGTGGAAATCAAAAGAAAAGAGAAGAAGGAGGAGAGGAAAAAGGAAACCAAATTTCAAAGCAATGGGGCCATCTGAATAACGAATGACGCGTGTCAGCGTTCTATGAAAAAAAAAAAAAATCCCTTAATGATTGAGCGCCATGATGTGGGGCAGGAAATCGATCGCCGAGAAACGGCGGACTGTAGAGCTGCAGACACTGTACGGATACAGGCCACGGTATTACTATATATGTACGAGTACGGATTACTACTATTATCTAGTATACTTACTGTATTACTAGGTATCACTAGAGTCCAGTAGTAATAGGAAAATGGGAATAACCAGGACTGCTGTAGTATCGAGACCAAAACAAATAATAAACCCGTCCAAATCCGAGCACGGGGCCATACACCCCTTCGGATGTATATCCTCGCCTCCTTTAGCCTGTGTTCCCGACCAGGCCTCATCATCCAGGCTTTCGATCAATCACATCTTCCCTGCCTGTTTCGGCCCGGTTATTAGGACACCCAATTCCGGCATGTAATATTACCGTAATGCGGACTTTTGCGTCTCCCGTCCTGATTCTTCTGACTCACCTTCGGCTAACTCCGAATTAACGACCAGGAGAACTGATACTTTGGAATTTTGCCGTTTTTTAATTTATCCCCGTCGTCAATATATGATGCTATATCCATTCTGAGCCATTCTTGAGAATAAGAAAATAAAAAAAGATTACCAGAACAGAAGGAAAGAGATGATGATGAAAAAAAAAAAAAGAAACACATCGACGGAAAACGCCAATATACTTAGTCGCATTCGAACGACTACCAAGAGAGATAATAGAGAAAGGGAGGGGAGGAAAAAGAACATGGGGATCAAGGGGACAGCAACTGACTGACTGACGCATGATGTGCTCAAAACACCGTGACAGCATTGACATATCCATTCTTCAGCACCTCAAACACCAACCCGGGAAAGCCATACAGCGTCGTCGTCGAGTCGCCAACCGTCTCGACCCTCCTCGCCCCGCTCTCCTCCCAACCGCCGAGGAGCTCACAGCTAGACCCGGGGCTGTCGTCCCAGCCGCGGTTGAGGACCATACCCCTCTGCCGCTGGTGCTGGTGCGACGACTCCTGCCGGGTCGTGGCCGCCATCACCTTGTGACCACCATTGCCGTTGACGTTGTCGGGTCCCCAGACATCATTCATCCTGTCCTCGATATCCTCAAACGTTGCCTCCGAGTCCGCCACCGGCCGGCTACCGTCACCTAGATAGTCAATCTCCCACCTGCAGCGACGGTGCCGGTTGAACTCGTACGAGCCCGGTACGTTGCCGTGCAGCACGAGTTTCGTTGCCACGAGGCGATCGGGAGAGTGTCTCTTGATGTCGTTCTGCTGCTGCTGCTGCTGCTGCTCGTGGGCAGATGCTTGTGTCGGTGCAGGTGATGGGTTCACGGGTGTGGAGAGGAGCACGTCGAATCCGAGGTGGAAGTAGTTGTAGAAACACTCGCCGGCAGGATTGCCGATGCTGCTGCTCGCAGTGGTATCGTCGACGGCCACGTCGTCGTGCGACACGCCGTCATCGTCGTCCTCGTCGTCGTCGGCGTCCGCGGCGTCGTCGTCCGATCCAGTCGTGTTCGTCGACGACCGATCCGTGTCCGTCAGGTCTTCCGGGCGGCCCGTGCCCATGCTCCCCGCGCTGGGGCGGCTGCGGGACGTGCTGGCGGCGCGCATCTTGTGGATGCCCATCTTCTGCTCGCTCTTGCGGTAGATGGCGCTGGGCGGGCCAAGCTCCCTGACGAGGTCCTGGGGCGTCGTCTCCCCAAGGGTGATGGTGTGGAACTGGTTCGCCGTCCATTTGCGGAACATGTCGATCCTGCCGCCGCCGCGCACGCGTACCAGCGACACCTCGTCAGGGTACACGTCCTTGCTTCGCGGGAGCAGCGACGACACCTTGACGCTGGGCAGCGTCTCGGTCCACAGCGTCGGACGTGCCTCGGCCCACGAGCTGCCGCTGAAGACGGCCATCGACGTGGCCAGCTGGCTCGGCGCCGACGCCATCAGGGCCACCACGTCCTTGTCGGGCGAATAGGCAGACGCCGGCAGGGAGAAGTTAAAGGCCACGCCCGGGTACGACAGGACGTAGATGCCCATGTTCTGCCCGGCAGGGGGGTGGATGAACTCTCCGCCGTATGTGGGGCCCACGGCGTGGTGGTAGATGTGTCGGAACGTAGGCCCCCCCGCCCCAACCACCGCCGCCGACGGCGACGACTCCTCCGGCGACTGCGGCCGTACTACCTCCCTGTCTTTGTATGTTATGAGTATGTTGGTAAAGTCAACCACCTCGATCAGACGGAGGCGCTGCTCGGGGCCGTCGAAGCGGAGACGCAGCCCATTCTGCGGCAGGTTAACGCATACGGGCTCCGTGACGGGACGGTCGGCCGAGTAGAGGACGTCGAGCTTCGGGAACCGCTGTGGCTCGGCCTTGAGACGCGTCAAGACATCGTGGAGAGACGCTCCGAGGACTGGTAGTATGGCGATAATCAGCAACCGGATCTATCACCCTCTTGTGTGAACCAATTCAAGGGTGAGACTCAACGCAGGAAGCCAAGTCCACGTCCTGGCTGAAGCGGAGCAGAGAAGGGAGCCATGGTTGTTCAAACTGACGGAGTCACCACTGGTACGACCCAGGGGGTTGAAAAGAGTGTGAGATGTCTGATTGTCCAGGAATGCTAATTGAAGCATCCGGGAGGAGGTAAAAAAATCCGAGAGGTGAAGTCTCGAAACAGGTAAGAAACTTGTATATCCTCCCCCCTAGCAAGAACGGATCTAAATAGGCTACCCTTTGCAAGGCAGAAAGAAGGGGGGGGGGGGACTTTGTTTGGGTGCATGTGACAGTTGGAAGCGGGATGACGCGGGGCTGGGCCACCTGATCTTATCTAGGGGTAATCTGCCGGCCCCCCCCTTTACGTCACGTCACCGCCAACAGGCTACGAGTACAAGAGTACAAGTCGGAGTAAGAGAGTAGCAGCTGCTACTAAACACCCTTGGCGTGTTTATCTTTTCTTTGATCTCATAAAGGAAACAAAAGTCACGGGGAAATAAGGAGAGAAGGGAACGGATAAATTCCACCATGTGAATAATTCACCATGCACTAGTACATATACATGTGGTCACTCTGGTTTCTCTCTCACCACTCGGCAACCTCTCCCTTGGCCGGCTTCTCCATGCGTACAATCTTGTCACAGTTGAGCAGGCAGAGAGGATCGAATGCCTTTTTGATCTATTTTTTTTTACAGAGCAAGTCAGTTTCTTCTCCCACTTTGTTCTTCCTTTGTAAAGCGTGTTCCGCCCTTGTAAAACATACCTGTCGCATCACGTCTACGGTAGACTCTCCAAGCTCGTGGGGAAGATAGTCCCTCTTGACGAGGCCGACGCCGTGCTCGCCCGTGACGGTGCCCTCCATTTCGACGGCACGTTTGACCATGCGGTGAACGACGGCCTCTGCCTTCTCCCGTTGAGAGTCGTTGAACAAGAGGATACCTGTTGTGAAGTGAATCGGTCAGTTCGGGTACCTCTCAACAGGTCGAAAGGAACAAAGGGTTAAAAGGAGAAAAGAAAAGGAGAAGATGGAAGAGAATCTGAAAGGTAGACATGCGGGACAGCAAAACAGAAAAAAAAAAACATACTGTGAAAGTTTCCATCACCAACATGGCCAACGATGGTGCCAAACAGTCCACTCTTCCTCACATCCTCCTGTGTAGCCTCGATGAGCTCAGGCAGCCTGGTCATGGGGACGGCGACATCGCCGGTCCACACGCGGTCGCCCTCCTTCTTGACGGCCATGGCGCTCCAGAGGGCCTCCTTCCTGGCGCTCCAGAGCTCATTCTGTTCTTCCTGGCTGCGGGCGAACTCGAAAGTCTTGCTCCTGGACTGGGCGGCCAGTCCCTGCACGAGCGAGACCTGCTCCTTGACGCCGGCCGGGGTGCCTGCGAACTTGAAGAAGATGGTGGGGGCCTCTGTCCAGGTGCGCGACGTGGACCCGGCGCGGTTGATACAGCTCATCTGGTTGTCGTCGAGGATCTCGACGGCGGCGACGGGGATGCCCCTGCCGACGACCTTGCCGACGCAGTCGGCGGCGTCGCGGATGGAGGGGAAGGTGGCGACGGCGACGCTGGTGGACTCCGGGCGGGTGGTGACCTTGAGGGTGGCCTCCGTGACGAGGCCGAGGGTGCCCTCGGATCCGATGAGCAGCTTGGTGAGGTCGTAGCCGGCCGAGCTCTTGCGCGGCCTCTGGCGCGTCCTGATGACGGTGCCGTCGGCCAGCACGGCCGTGATGCTGATGACCCACTCGCGCATGGTGCCGTAGCGGTACGAGTTGGTGCCCGAGCAGCCCGTGCCGATCATGCCTCCGATCCTGGCGCCGGGGCCGGGGTCGGGCGGGAAGAACAGGCCAAGCGCGCCCAGCTCCTCGTTCAGGTGCTCCCACCCCACCGCCGGCTGCACCGTCACGTCCAGGTCGTCCTTGCGCAGTGCGAGGATCTTGTCCATCCTGGCAAAGTCGATCGACACGCCCCGGCGCGTCGGCGTGAAGTGGCCCTCCAGGCTCGTCCCGCCCGAGTACCCCACTACCGGGATCCTGCGCGCGTGGCACACCTTGATCACCTCCGACACCTCCTCCGTCGAGGCCGGGTACACGATGCAGAACGGACGCTCGTCGTCGCGCGCCCGGTGCGAGGACCACTCCGACGTCGCGTGCTGCAGCAGCTCCGCGTCGGCCGTGCTCACGTTCTCCTTGCCCACCACCTTGACGAAGTCGGCCCACGCCGCCTGCATGTTCTCCAGCCGCGTGTCGTGCTTGATCGCCGGAGCCTCCGAGAGCTTGAGCGTCGACGACGTCGGCTCCTGGCTCGGCCAGAACGTCCCTAGGTAGTACGACATGCCGATGCAGGACAGCACGACTACATCATTGTCAGGTCAGCCAGCCGGGATAGCAGACGCACATAGGAAGGGGGAGGGGCCGCCATCGTCAAGGAGAGCGTGTGCGTACAGAAACTTATCGTCCAATTCCTAGCCGGGTCCGTCATGTGCCGCCAATCCTCGTACCTCTTGCGCTGCTCCCTCTCCCGCTGCAGACGCGACCCGATGCTCCCCATGACCTGACCCTGGAAGGTACGTCCGAGCTTGTTCTCATTCCCCCTTGTCTTTTCCAAGTTTCCTCCCTTTGTCCTGTCCACGTCGGTGGCGTAGCATCGTTGTAGTCGCCAGGTCGAGGTCGGGAGAGCAGCAGTAGCCGTTGCTGGCGTCGTCGTCACGGCAGTACGCCTTAGACTCCGTAGAGCCACCATTCTCGTCATTGCGGGCTATCCACCCTGAGGCCGGGGTAAAGAATAGAATGAAACGGAGATGGGTTGGTGGTGATGGGGAGGGCGGTTGCACGTTGTCGTCACGGCGACATCAGAAGAACTGAACCGTTGGGGGCAGTTCTTCCTCTCAAGGTCAGGGAAACCAGGTAATTTTAATACGACGACGTAGGGATGGATCGGTCGGAGCTTGCTAGGCCGGTAATAATATTGCATTAAGGGAGCAATAGTGCGGGAGTGCCCAAGTGCCCAGTGGTCAGCGGAATTCCGTCTGCTAAGATTCCTCCCCATCCCCCCCCCCCCCCCCCCCCCCCCAGATTGACAAATACTAGTGCCATTATGGCGCCATTGCCCCAGGCCCGCAACACCCACAGCTGCACTTGCATATATCCCCTTGAAAGCTCCAGTCAGCAAGTGAAAGACTTACTCCGTTACTCGGCGTGTTATCTAGCGGTCTATTATTATTCGATGAATTCATTCATTTCAGGACACTGCATGTATTGAATGCTTACGAATATTTATTTTGTCCTCATACTTTGAATGTATTAATAATGTTATTTACCTCTGAGTGCCCGGACTTAACCAGGCCTAACCGCCACGCAAACATCAACAGACAAGCACATGCATCGTAAGGAGAAGAGAGCCGCAGAACGTACTCATCCACAAAAAGATAAGGCACGCCACGTTAGTGAATATATTCTTGATGCCAATTCTAATTCCAATTCCAGTGTAAACCTATAACTCCAGGCCGGCATTTGTAAAGAAAGAAAACGAAACAAAAAGTGGAAGGGAAGAAGGGAAAGAGAGGTGTATGCAGAGCTCACTGCCCCTCTTCCCCCCTCACCCCCCCCTCACGGAGCCTCAGTCGCCATGCTAGCCAGTTCATCCTATCGTCTGCCCAGCTTCAACAACCTGGTCCTGAACCAGAGGGCAAAAGCCGTCCAGGCCCCCGTAGTCTTGTGTTTAGCAGCGGTGGTACGAGCCCTCCTGTGCTCGTCGGTGCGGCGACGGCGCACCGTCTGTGGCGGCGAGCCCGCGCCGTTGTTGGCTCTCTCATAGCTGTCGTGGCTGTCGAGCGCGGCGGCGGCAGAAGTACCGGCAAAGCAATCATCTTCGTGACCATCGCCATCGTCGTCATACCCGGCCATCTCGCGTTGGCTGATGGACGCATGTTCTGTGAGAGCCCTACTGTGGGCCGTGCTTCGGCGGGAAAGCTGCGGCCTCATGGCGTCGCCGTTGGTGAAGCTCCCCATGCGGGAGTGGTGACCTAGGGACTCGCGCGTGCTGGCGCGCTCGCGCTTCCTCTCCTTCTCGCGGGCGTACTTCTCCTCCTTGGCCCTCTCCTTCTCTTCGAACTTGCGGCGCGCCTGGCGCACCTGTTCCTGCCGGTTGGACGTGTCGACGTCACTGCGGGAGCGCAGACGGAAGTGGCTCATGTCGAAGGAGTGGCGGAGGGGCGACATGGGCGATGGGGACCCGTTGGACGGTGGGTCGCCGCCGGCGCCGGCGAAGGGCAGGGTCGAGGCGTCCCAACCGTCGTCGACGATGGTGACGGTCAGTGACGTCCCCAGCTGATTGTCCGATAGACGACCCTGATTTCCCGCCGGGACAGGGATGGTGTCGGTTAGGGAGCCGGAGCCGGACCGACGGCTGTGGGCGAGCGACGGGCGCACGTACGACGCGCTCCGGTGGGAAGGGGATAGCGTGGGCCGGGAGGCGAAGCGAGACACGCTGGTGGTCGAGGTGTTCGCCGTCGCCAGGTCTGGCGATGCCAATCCGTCCGCTGTGGCGTCGTTGTAGCTGATGCCGCCAAGGTCGTAGCTGGTGCGCCCGTAGCTGAGGCGTCCGGGGGTGGCGGCGACGTCGTCTTCGTCCTCGTCGTCTTCGTCCTCGGCGATGGTGGGGGAGTAGTCGCGGGCCGTGTCGAACGAAGGCCGCGAGTTGGTGTATGAGTGCAAAGGAGGAGTCGACGTCTGCGGATTCTGCTGGAAGGGGTGGATGAAGGACCCGTTGCGACTGTTGCTGGTGGCTATCGACGCGTGCGAGGCCCCGCTCGTGGACCGGGCATGCGCGAAGGCGCGGGAGGGCGCGGAGGAGGAAGATGGTGACGAGGAGGTGGCGGAGGCGACGGCGGCAGATGACGAGGGTGAAGAGATGACTCTGCTACTGCCGCCAGAGGGGGGAGCGCCTAGGAGACCCTTGGGGCCGAGGTCGTTTGCGGAGAGGGAGAAGCTGACGCCGAAGCTGTCAGCTGCGGAGAGTGACGAGGTGCTGCTGAACAAGCCGTCGGTGGCGTCGTAGTAGCGCTTGGTCGGGTGGGAGAAGTCATCCGGGGTAACGACGTAGCCTAGGCTCGGTTCCTGGTCCTGCCAGCCGCGGTCAAGATCGAGCGAGTTCTTCTCCGAGTGCGAGTGGGAGTGCAGCTTCTTGAGGATGGGCTTGACCGAGGTGCGGGCTCGCGACTTGGAAGACTTGCCATGTGAGTTGTAACCCAGGCTCGACGTCTGAAACGAGGTGGTAGCCATGGCCCAAGTCTGTGTTTCCTCGACACACAGACACAGGCAACAACGCAGCTCTCTGGCTACGTGCACAGACACGTGCGTGATAAGAATGGGGCAGAAGGAGAGTGACGAATGATTCAGTGTCGCCCCAAGCCAGGAGGGGTCGTCGGCCAAGAAAACTCTCCTTTATCTGAGTGGTGTAGCCTTTACTTAGCGATGCCAGAAAAAAAAAAGGCGAGCACGATGGCTCTTGTATGTCCCCAGAAAATGCGCAGGTACCAGCGAACGGACTAGCAGAGCGTCCTAATTGACGGACACAATGTGCACAGGGACGGATGCTTGCACTCGAGACATGGGGGGGGGGGTATACAAGATAGGTAAATATCCGCAAGTGGACGTGGTTCTGTCAAGGCGGATGGATGATGCGGAGAGGGTGGTGAGAAGACGGGACCCCAGATCTGTTTGCGATGCACACAAGGCAAGATCGTCGTCGTCGTCGTCGTCGTCGTCGTCGTGTTTCACGGCGGTGGTTCCGTTCTTGTCCCCCCTTTTAGAAACAAGCTAGGTGAAGGGGGAAACGATTATGACGAGGGTGGTTGGGTTAGCTTGACGTTGTGTGCTGTCCTTCCCCCTCTGCTGTGACGTTGTTCTTTCCCTTTTTCCCTTTTTAGGGTCGAGGGCGGACAAGGTGATACAAGAGAGGAAGGAAAAAAGAAGGAAAAAAGAAGGTTTGGAATGAGGAAGAGGAAGAGAGCGGGAGGGGGAATGGTAGGTATAGGCGGAGACAAGAGCGGCACAGGCTTATGGCATGTCGAAGACGAATGCGGTGATGGTGGACCAGGGATAATATGATGGGCCGAATTGGCGGGAACGATAATCCATACAACGGGTAAAGTTGTGCGAGTATATGACATGTACTCCGTATGTAATAATGAGTAATATAGGGATGGGGGGGGGGGGGGGGGGGGGGGG